TATCCATCATGCATTGCTCCAGACTGACATTGATACGTGTTGTCAATGGTCATCAGCTACTGCCATGACGTTTAACACCAGTAAATGCGTCCACCTACCCTTTCAAAAATATGCATTAGCTCCCGGCCCGTCATCCCCCTTGACAATGAACCGTGTGCCTATTCAGAAAGGTGATAGCCACTGTCATCTCGGCGTGACTATCACTCCTTCACTAAATTTTTCTGACCATATAAAATCTATCACCCATAAGTTTCGCAGTCGTGTTTTTCTGTTGCGCCATATGGCCCATTTCCTTTCTGCTTCAACCGTGAATTTGCTCTACAAGTGTTACGTACGACCACTGTTAGAATACGCAGTCCCTGTCTGGTCATTCGCCGTATCCCATTCAGATTCGCTTACGTTAGACCGACTGCAAGCCGTTGCTGCTCATTCATGTCTGCTTTGTAAGACCCGGCACCCTCCTGAGTGGGAAACCCCGAAGCAGATTCTTAATCGTACTTGTGACTGTTCATCCCTGAAGTGGCGTCGTCAGATTCTGTCCTTGCTGTATTTTCATCATGTCTTTTACCAGTTTCCGTCTTTGCTAATTCGTTTCAAATTCAATGTATCCCTTAGTTGTCGTCACCCGTCCTCTATAGTTTTACCTCGTTCTGGCGCCCATTTCCTTAAATCCCCTCTCTTCAGTTTATCTGTGGAATGGAACAAACTTCCAGAACACATCCGCTGCGTTCAGTCCTCTGTCAATTTTCGCATTGCTCTAAAGGCTCATTACTCACAGCATAGATATTCTCTGACTGGAATTCCGAACTTTTCCGTTTGAGAAATTTTTTTCCTTGAAAATAATCCTTGCTGGTTTTTTTTCATCTAAATGTCCCGCTATTATCTGCAAAGGTGATTTCTTCCCTCGTCGATTTCTTTCCTGTTTTTTTACCTCGATATTTAGGTACTTGTTTCCCTTCTTCCCATGCTTCATCTTCCACTCTCCTCTCCCCCATTTCCCCATTTTTCTTGCGATATTTATGTGGGAGACTTCCGTGATAAGCATCCATTTGCTTTTGGAGAATCCTTTTGACTAAATACAATACAATACAATACTTTCTGACTGTATTATAGTATCTGGGTGCAGTGATGGAGAGTTCCTCTCAACTCGTATCTATACTTCTTTCTTTTCTACGTTAATAATTATCGTCATTAAACTCGGGTGGAGAGCCAACGACTTATTCATAAGAAGAAATGAGGACCAAGGAAAACCTTCTAAGTTGGAAGGCTGTTGGAGTGTGGATCCAAGATGTACTAGAGCTGTTAACCAGTTAGTTGAAGAACGTCAGTACGGTTGGTCAGTGTCGTGCAAAGTTATCGCATGAGTTGATTGTAAAGTAACTGGCGGTTATAGAGGAGATATTGGTAATATCCTGGTCCTCATTTCTTCATACACATAGAATGACACCTGTGCGAAACATATAGGCAAGACAGTGTATTGTTATCTCCACGTCGACTGTAAGAGAAAAAATAATAATTTGTATTTTGTCGGACAAAAACGACTGGAATTCGGGAATATTCACTGCGACAAACTATGAATTCTATTTTCTCATCATTTGGCTGCCAGGGCGCACTGCAATCTACACTAGATGGAGGTATAACAAATATTTGGCTGGCCAACTATCGAGATAAAGGTGTTCTCAACATTTCTACCCATAATAGCACAGCTGAGCTAACTGACCAACCTAAACCCTTCATTTGTGCCAAAGGTAAGCGTCTGAACTTGGTTTGGAAACATGCCCGACTTCCGCGAAAATACTATCGTTGCAAATTTTAGCAGGACCAAACTTACATTGTTGTTTAAATATCGTGACTTATGTGAAACGTTTTTCTGACACCATTGCTCAGCCTCTGCATGCAAGGCCTACTGTTTATGGTTTTTAGGCTGCTTTGAGTTGAACTATAAGACGACCATACTCGGTTAGACCTAGTAATTTATATAGCAATTTTTTACTATTTACTAGCACAAGATGTTTTTATTCTAATTTCACGGAGAAGGTTGAGAGTCGAACGTGCCGGTTAAAAAAAACTGAAAAGGAAGGAGAATAAAGACGAAGCAGGTTTTAAACCTGAAGAGGCCTTTTGTGCCATTACTTCTCGAATCAGTACACATGATGGGGATAGTTATGTCAAACAGCGTAGTACAAGAGTATGACATGGAGACAGGAAGTCCAAGTAGCACTCGTTTTCTAACATTATTCCCTCTTTGTACAAAGCTGTGGCTATAACTTGGCAATGTGAATAGCCTCTAGCACATGTAGGTGGCATTTGCTGCTCGCCCACGCGTGTATCTTTAAGCGCTCTGGAATGTTCTTACACACTGCCCCAGACATGATGAGATCTGTTGCTATTTTATTGTACGACCATTCTTTTTGTTCAGCTGGTGGGTTGTGTTTGCACTTACACGGGATATTGCGAGTGCCCTGGACCAGGTAACCAGCCAACCTATCCAAGCCCATGTTTAAAGCTAGAAAAAAAACTGTTAACTGTTAAAAAGAGAAAAACTAGCAGTTTGATAGCAGACGGAATCACGCTTGTCTGTACGCTTCTGATTTTGATGGTTAGATTTTGATGAATGTACAAATGGAGGCGCTAATCTGTGTCCGATAGGAACTCGGTGTCAAAACGAGAAAGGCACTTACTCCTGCGAAGGTAAGTGTTGCATTGCTCCTATAATTATTTCGTTGAGTTCTCCGCGGAAATGTTAATTGCAATGGATCCTGCTGCTGCTCGCAAATTTCTACAACCTGTCGCTTGTTAAAACGATGCACGCTATTGCACAAAAACTAACGCTGTGGACAGCTACATCAGTGGCAACTGAAATCCGACCCCCTGGGCCGTGCGTTCATATTCTGGCTGTCTCTATTTCGCAGTTTTGCGAAATTGAATGCGAGAAACATGATCAAGGCCATCAATACGTATGCTCTGCCGGTTATGACATATAGTTATGGAATCGTAAATTGGACTGAAGCTGAAATAAAGACCACAGATCGAGCGACAAGATCAGCCTTGACTGCGTCTGGATTTCACCACCCCAAGGCCTCAGTCAACAGGCTCTACATGAAGAGGGGAGATGGAGGCCGGGGCTTGATCTCTTGTGAGGATATGCACGGCTGGAGCATGTGTGGCCTGTCCCGCTACATGAGCACCAGCACAATAGACCGAATAAGCCTGCTTTATCAGTATCATCAACAAAAACCTACAACAAAAAGCCACTCAATAACTGCAAAGGCAGGTAAGTTCCTGTCGAGTTTGGATCTGCCAACAGCTGGACCAGCTTTACCCAATAAGCATACCATTAAAGAAGCGTACGCAGAGCGAAAATCCAAAACACTTTCCACTATGCCGCTGCATGGGAAATATTGGAGCCGCTTGGAGGAAAATCGCCTCGATAAGGAGCTTACCTTCATGTGACTGAAATGAAGAACACTGAAACCTTCAACTGAAGGCATGATTATGGCAGCACAAGACCAATCCCTCAAAACGAAAAATTACCAATACGCCATAATGAAGTCAATTGCTCGAACTGATGCCAATTGCCGGCTTTGCAAGCGCAGCTTAGAAACAATTGACCACATTGTCAGTGCCTGGTCAGTTCTTGCTCGGACCAGTTACATCGAAAGTCATAACCGGATAGTAAAGTATGTGCACTTCGAAATGTGTAGAGCACGAGATCTACCTACTGGTGCTTCACGATTCGACCACCAGCTCAAGGCATTGGTCAAAAGTGATCAGTATCGGCTCTATTGGGAGTATTCGGTCCCAACTGACATGAAACTATCAGCAAACAGGCCCGATCTGCTCCTTGTTGATGACAAGGAGCGCATCGCATACATTATAGACATCAGCGTTCCTGGTGAGAACAACGTCAATAAGAAAATGACTGAAAAGCGCTCAAAATATTATGACTTGAAGCGGGAGATTTCCAGAATTTGGTCCCTCACCCAGGTTGACGTGGTCCCTGTGGTTGTCGGTGCCCTGGGAGGCTTGGTGGGGGAGACTCATCAATGCCTCCGGACTGTGCAGGGAGGAGACATGGCTACTGTGCAACAGGAGGCTATCCAAGGTTCGGTTAAAATACTAAGAACTGTACTTAACATGTAGATGCACATCTGCTGCGTTTTCATGTTCAATAGCCAAGAGACTTGAATAACGACTGATAAAGATATTTCCTTTGTAATCCCCATAACAACATCAACGTCCTTATCATCTGTACAATACCTGTCTTTGTACAATACCTGCCGTTGCAAATTCTCTATTTTTGTTTTGATGTTGGAGTTTGGATTGAGTTTCTTTCCTTTCTTCCTCTTCCTTCCCCTATTTCTTGTCCCTTCGGTTTTTGGCTTTTTATTTTATTTTTTCACTTTATTTTTGCTGTCCCACCCATGGACATATTTCCCGGTGGCTCTGGCTTATCGCCTTCGAAAGAAGTGAATAAAGGAGACATAATAATAATACGAAGTAGTGGCTGCGACTTCGGCGATGATTTGTAAGAAATGGTTTGCTCCCCACACCGGAGCTCGCGCTATTCCGCCGACTTTACTTGACACTTGACTGACTCACGACTGCCATCCAGGTTTGCAGGTTTCCCGAATCGAAGGTTCGATGGACTTCTCGTGTGCTCTGGATGGCAGTCGTGAGTCAGTCAAGTGTCAAGTAAAGTCGGCGGAATAGCGCGAGCTCCGGTGTGGGGAGCAAACCATGTCTTAATAATAATAATAATAATAATAATAATAATAATAATAATAATAATAATAATAATAATAATAATAATAATAATAATAATAATAATTAAAAAGCTTACGTGGAGATAAAAATGTAATTAACGCAATAAATAGTGTAAGCTGCGCACTCAGTATAAACACCATTAGCAACACCTGTTTTCATGTACTGCTGCTGGGGACGGAACCAACCGGGGTGTCATTGTCTTCTTCGTCGTCATCGGCTTGGTCGTCATTGCCTTAGTCTTTACCGCCTCTTCCTTCTATCCCGTCATCATCGTTGGTATCTTCGGTTTCGTCTTCTTTGACTTCCTCGCTACTGTCATCCGTTGTGTCCACCTCCGGTGGCAGAAAGCGTGGCCGACCACCGAAGAAGCCACCGGATGGTGTGTCTGCGAGACCAGTGACTCGCTCTAGGGCGAGGTTGGCAGAGTCATTATCGTCTCCGTCATTGTCGTCATTGTCGTCGTCGGCATCTTCCTCATCTCCCTCCTCCTCCTCCTCATCCTCATCATCAACATCAACAGCTATTGGAAATGGAGCATCATCGCAGCAGGCAATGCCATTAACAGACGTGTCTTTGGTATTGACATCTACATCGGCCTCGTCTGGAATGGCAGTAGCGGCAAGGAATGTCAGGTCGGTTTTATTGTCACGTAATTCCAAAGTATGTACTGGTTCTAGTAGTGTTGTTAGGGTGTATGAATCTTCTGTTGCTAACCATCTTGTTCAGAATAGTGAGTTTCGTTCTAGTTATACTTGTTGTGACAGTCCAACTAACTTCAGTAGTCATTCTTGGAATAAGCAATGATCCTTGCCATAATGCATTCTTATATACATGAACAAGCAATGATGGACATAACACCTAACAGCAGCAGCGTTATAATAGCAGGTGATAAGTGTATCCTATTCCTAGTGTTAGTAGTAACAGTGAATCTGTTACACCATTCCCCCCCTCTCAACTGTCAGAACAGTACCAATTCGAAGGAACAGTTATGGTAACTAATGATCATGCATGGATATGTGGAATGCATGGTAGCCGAAAACAACACTGATCAACTCAAGATCCAGTGCATGTCCTCTGCAAATAACGCCTGGCTTGCAGGGACGCACTATCAGGCAGAATGCTACATTTCTATTGCAACACGTAGAAACTAGCAATACAACTGTGGCTGCCAATTAAATAGTAATTTTATGAAAAACGGTCCAGGTAGGTTTTCAGCGGAATAATAGCGTTTCCTGCTTCATCCATCAAGTATTCCTCCGGCTCCCAGGTGGCATCTCGGTAGCCCTTCCATTTCACTAGGTACTGCGTGCGCCGTCCTCTCTTCTTGTGCGACAACACCTTTTCGACAATATACCGCGTATGGCCATCCGCATCGGTTAGGGGTGGTGGTGCCGGCTGAGTACGGCCCGGTATCTCATTGCCATGGTACAGCTTGAGGGCAGCAATATTGAACACTGGATGGGCCCGAATGATTCTTGGAAGAGCTAATCTGTACGCATTCGGGGCCACTTTCTTCTGCACCTTGAACGGCCCATACCACTTGAGCCTTAATTTGTGTGAAGGCCTGTCTCGTTCCTCGGGCGTCAGCAGGAAGTCCCTGAAGACCAACACCTCACCCCCCCCCCCCTTCAGCGCGTCCTCCACCCGTCCTCGATCCGCATACAATGATTGCCGGGCCTGCGCCGCCACGATGGCATCCTGTGCCTCACGTAGTGCCTCTACGCGGCCATCCAGCCATGACAGCGGACCATTCGTGTCCATGCCAGCTCCAGCTTTCTGCTTCGTCAATAAGCTCGAGGGAGTAACTGGATGGCATCCATGGTTGAGGAAAAATGGCGTGTTACCTGTTGACGCTTGATCGGCATTGTTGATCGAAAACTTACATAGCGATAGGAGTTCATCCCAATTGTTTTGCCTATGGTTGACGAAAGCTCTTAGCGTATCCTCAATGACACGGTTCACACGCTCAGTCATGCCATCGGTCTGCGGGTGGTTGGCCGTGCTCATTTTTAGCTCCACGCCAAGAATACTGAAAACCTCCTTGAAGAACGCCGACGTGAATCGCGGATCTCGATCACAAACTATCGTTTTGCTCAAGCCATGGGCAGCAAACACATGATCCATGTACAATCGGGCTGCCTCCTTAGAGTCAACATGAACAGTCGTCGGGATCAGGTGCACATACTTCGTCAGACGGTCCACAAAGGTTAGAATTGCGCTATGTCCTCGGCAGGTCAGCGGCAGTGCCATGATGAAATCCATGCTGATGTCTGTCCAGGGCTGTTCGGGGACTGGAAGGGACTGCAACAGTCCTGCCTTGGTCTGGCTACCCATTACGCGTTGGCACCGGTCGCAAGATTTAACGAAGTCCTTCACAGTACTTCTCATGCCTGGCCAATAGAAGTATCTGCTCAGCTTCAGGTAGGTCCTGTCTCTCCCCGGATGGCCGGCCGTCAGGCAATCATGATTCTGTTTGAGCAGTTGCAGCCGTACTGGACCGCGAGGAATGCAGAGGCGAGCATCGCCCGATGTTACTAGGTACAGCCGCCGGTCCACACTGTTCCAGACGTATCGCTCATGCATGGCGTCTTCGCTGCAAGCCATCAAGCGCTTGATTACTGGCGAAAGCTCTGGGTCACTATCATAACCTGCTGAGATCTGATTCGCAATTCCTTGACTCACATCCAGAGAGAACTAGATTCCATTCAGTTCCAAGTCTGGTCGACGTGACAACGGGTCTGCTATGTTACACTTCCTTGGCTTGTGATGTACCGTGTAGTCATAGTCGGCCAGGAATTCAATCCATCGAGCCTCTCTCTTGGTTAAGTTTGCTTTGGTCCTGAGGTAGACAACTCCCATGTTGTCGGTGTAGAGTTGAAAGTGGCGAAATAGGTAGACTCGCCAGCACTGCAGGGCGTACACTACAGCCAAAGTTTCTCGCTCGGCGGCCGTGTAATTCCGTTCGGCGATTCGAATAGAAGAAACAGATATTCCGAAGACAGCAATAAATACCCCATTCGGTCACTTTCAGTTCACAGTGATGGGTTTCGGCCTAACAAATGCCCCGGCAACATTCCAAACCTTGATGAACAGTGTCCTCCAGCCATACCTGCGTAAATTCGTTGTGGTGTTTCTAGACGATATCCTCATATTCAGCAAATCATGGGAGGAGCACCTCGATCATGTCAGAACCATCTTAAACGCCCTCAGGAGGAATGAGCTATATTGCAATCCGTCTAAACGTGAATTCGGCCGGACAGACGTTCTGTTTCTTGGGCACCGGATAGACGGCCAATGCATTTCTCCAGATCCAGAGAAGATCAAGGCCGTGCATAACTGGCCTGTCCCGACGACGGTCACGCACGTAAGACAGTTTCTGGGATTCGCTAATTACTTTCGAAGGTTCATTAACCATTTCTCGGCCATCTCCAAACCCCTGGAGGAACTGACAGGGAAACATGTGCGCTTCGAGTGGAATCAGACTCGACAGGAGGCATTTGAGCGATTGAAGTCTGCTCTGCTGGATGCACAAGTGTTGCGACTAGCAAACGTCAGTCAGGATTTCCGCGTTGAGACTGACGCAAGTGACTTTGCTGTGGCAGGAGTCTTGACGCAGCAAGCAGAGGACCAGTCCTGGCATCCTGTGGCTTACGTGAGCCGAAAGCTGTCTTCGGAATATCTGTTTCTTCTATTCGAATCTGATTGTAACCGGACCTCAAATCTAGCTTGGTGAAATACGCACTGCCTTGGACGGTATCAAAGAGGTCGTCAATATTCGGTAGGCATGCCTTGTTCTTAATGGTTATGTTTGTTTGTTTGTTTGAAGTTTTATTTTACATCGCAAACCAAACGGGCATTGATGCCCAATATTATGATGGCGATAGAATAAAAAGTGTAGCTCGATAAAGCTTCACTTGCGAAAATGAGAAAACAGTCAAAAGGAAGTATTTGTACCGGTAATTACAAGTCAAGTTCGAACGAAGTAACAATCAGGGAGAAATAGGAAGATGAGGACCTATGCCAGAGGGAGGTGCTATTCGGCCATATTAACCGTAGAAAAACACTTTCAGCAATCTTTTAAACGGGGTTGGACGACGAGCGGACGTGAGTTCCTGTGGCAGGGTGTTCCAAAGCTTCACGGCGGAAACCAATGGTCGGCTTTTTTTTTTTTTTTTTTTTACTAAAAAACACAGCCCTACTAATAATCAGGGGAAGAGGACAACTGAAATGACGCTGGACAACAAGACAAAGGGGAGTAGGGGCGATGTGCCGATGTGGTTGGCGAAGCTCATCCGACCGGAGGTCTCGGAATCATAGCCTACGACCAGGCATCGTTAGGAATGCAGCTAGGGAGGGAGGGAGATCAAGTGAGAAAGAGAGAGAGACAGAGAGAGAGAGAGACAGAGAGAGAGAGAGAGAGAGAGAGAGAGAGAGAGAGAGAGAGAGAGAGAGAGAGAGAGAGAGAGAGAGAGAGAGAGAGAGAGAGAGAGAGAGAGAGAGAGAGAGAGAGAGAGAGAGAGAGAGAGAGAGAGAGAGAAAGAGAAAGAGAGAGAGAGAGAGAGAGAGAGAGAGAGAGAGAGAGAGAGAGAGAGAGAGAGAGAGAGAGAGAGAGAGAGATAGAGAGAGAGAGAGAGAGAGGGGGGGGGAGAGGGAGGGAGAGAGAGAGAGAGAGAGAGAGAGAGAGAGAGAGAGAGAGAGAGAGAGAGAGAGAGAGAGAGAGAGAGAGAGAGAGAGAGAGAGAGAGAGAGAGAGAGAGAGAGAGAGAGAGAGAGAGAGAGAGGGAGAGAGAGAGAAATAAATAAATAAAATAAAACAAGAAAGAGATGAGAAGAGAAATAAAAAAAGAAAGAGATGAGAAGAGAAATAAAATAAAAACAAGAAAGAGATGAGAAGAGAAATAAATATAAAACAAGAAAGAGATGATGGACGAGGGTAGTTGCTCATTGACGGCTGTCGCCAGATGTTCGCCGAGTTAGCGGAACAACGTATTTGCAATTGTCATTGCCACGGGTGTTACTGGGAGGTTGGAGGGCTACTCTATCTTTCAGAAGAGGGCTGATGCTGCTGGTGTGGACACGGTGCATAAGGAAACGGAGTTTGCATTTGGCACGTTCAATTACAGGGGTCAGGGAAAGGCGAGTGTATATAGGAGTGGTATGGGACGGGAAGGGCAGATTGGCTACGCAGCGAACACATCGCTTGTCGAGGACAGTGAGCTGGTGCCGCTGCTGAGCCGTGAGGGCAGAGAAGAACGCGTTTGATCCATAAAGCATGTCAGGAAGTATAAGGGCAGAATAGAAGAGGAGCGACTGGCGTTCAGATAGCGACGGGCGGATGGTTCTCAGGGTGGTTAGCTTCTGGGAAGTTTTACGTACTATGCTGGAGACCTGCGCGTTCCACCGAAGACAGGAATCGATCTGTAGGCCCAGAAAGCGAGCAGTGGTGGTCTGGGTGAGAGGCGTCCCGTTGCAGTTAACGTTGAGTTCCAGGGTACTACGGCGTGATGCCTCAATGGCTAAGACCTGCGTCTTGTCAGGGTTTAAAACCAGGCCTTTCCCGTGTAGGTAGTCAGCCAAGTTTGACACAGCAACTGATAAGACT